AGTGGAGCAAGATATGAGACATTTCGTAACCTCTGCTACCATAAGCCTTGTGCTTTGTTAGGCATTTCAAAAGACACCATTAAGACAAAGCATTTGATTACTGATTACTTTTTTACATAAGTACAAAAAAAACTAAATGCGGAAGCTACTCCTTCTTTACTTCGTAATCCATTTGAATTTTGAGAAGCCAAAGTTTCATACCTTCACATCCAATACCCTTTGCGTACCGCCGATAGCAACATCCGCATTTTTTGGCAACGCTGCAAGATGTCGACGTTTGCGTCTCACCCCTATCGTGGGATCATTACTACCAATTGCACCTGCTCCACCCCCACTGGTACCTCCACTTCGAGTCACTTTTCGTTGTCCAGTTGCTGGTACCGTGAATGGTGCTCCATGATGTCGCGAAGTAGAAAGTGGAGAAGTAAGTTGCCAAGGTGGCGCTGCTGCCACCGCTGCGCCTGGAGTAGTCGCGGTGGTGGCACCAGTCGCATCGGAGCTCTCCAGCGACGAAGCAGCTGAAGAACGGGTAACGCAACGGGCCCGACGGCCACGAGCGCGAATCGCGCGGGTATGTAGTAGAGGTGGTCTTGAACCGCTCTCCGAGCGTGGACGAAGGAGAGGAGCACAACGTGGGGAAGTCGAGTACCAGGCAGAAGGAGTTCGCACCGCGCGACATGAACTAGGACCTGTAATAGGTGAAAAGAGCCATAGTTGGCATGTTTATTTGCGAGCGATGAAGGAATATTTTTAAATGCTGACACGTAAAGTCGAATTATGGTTCGCCACTTTCACACTGTTAAGTTGAACGCCTTTTTATGCTAGGTAAAGAAAATTGGGAATATCGATTGACAGTGAGCCAATTTTTCTGGAATGTTTTTGAAACGAAACAAATTCATCAAATTCTTCGATGCATCCTTAGGTCATCATAGTTTCAAGGGATGATAAACTAGTTTACGAAGTCTGGCATCCCTAGATAATCAAAATGTCGTTTTAGCATTAAAAGTTATGAAGGACGATCAGGCAAATTTTGACATTATGGGAATCCATTTGGGGCTGGGTAGTCTTATTAGCGTTATCCTTAATACAATTAATTAAGGGCAAGTGTGTAAAAGTTTAGGACTCTTCTTAATGGGAAAAGGACGAAAGATAATATTTTATGCACCTCTTCCAGACACTCGAAGCATAATAAATATTAATTAATATGAGCCAAGGGTGAGGAAATGAGTCGAATGTGTTTCTAGAGGAGAGGGCAGGCCTTTTGATCTCAAGGAAGGATTTGACCCTTCCTCGTCTTCCCTACTATTCCACCTAACTCTCGAAATGGAGTTAAAAGGAAAGAATGAAAACGCTATGCAGAGCAAATTTTCTTAGATGATTCAGGACGTGGCAAGCGAAAGAATGCATGCAGGAAGAGATTTGAGCTTGAAAGGTGTGGGATGAGCCATGACTGGATTAACCAACTAATTTACTTCAGAATTAACACAAAATCACACTAAAATTAAGCATCAGTTATGCATTAAAAA